CCCCAAAACCCCAAAACCCCAAAACCCCAAAACCCCAAAACCCCTTATAAGAATTTTTTTATAGAATAATGGTAATATATTTTCTACACAGGAATACTAAAAGTAAATAATATGGAGTTCGTTGCCCCCACATCTAATCTCTTGGAGATTACTAAACCAGGAGAGTTGAAAAATGCAGTTGTCACTGAGTTGAAGTCAAGAATCAGTTATCAGAGCGAGAAGTACGATAATCTTAGCCTTGCCACTCCAATCTTGAAGCCGGTGAGAAGTAAAATTGATATACCTTCACTAGAGGATTTCCCAGCCCCTGCTATACCAGTGGACTGTAGTCCTTTGTGTAAGGTCGGCACTGAGAATAGGTAAGCCAATGGAAATTCAAGTTCAATTTTCAGAAAATGTTTGAAGCTAACAATAGTTGAATTTTTTGTCACCTAAGATATTGGGATAACTCCCATCAAACTCATTATTCTCTATAATCTCTAATATGAATGCTTTATAAAGAATAAAGGATACTACTAAACTTCCAGAAAATGATCTGCTCAAACTCTTCTCTCGTATTATCTATATTGTGCCGATTGTTTAGATTTAGGTTACAGCTAATGGGCATCGCAGCATGATTATTTGGCATAGTCTTAGTCTAACACAGCCTGAATTTTAGCCGCTGAGATCTCTCAAAATGGATCATCTGTCCAGTGATACAAGGGGTTGCTCAGCTTAGTTAAAGTAGCTAAGATACCCAACACCGTAGAATATTGACACATATCCTTACAATGAAAATTACCTTTTATAGTAGGACCAAGGTTACTTTTTGGCAGACATTTTCTGTCCAGTGTCTGGTCATCCAATACTTGGGTTCACCTACTTTTATTGCTTTGTTCAGATCGAATGATATCAGACAATTTTATTGAGGTTTGGGCCAGTACGGGCTTTCCTACATTCATCTATTGTTTTGAGAAATATATAAGAAAATGATGATTCCGATAGCTCTTTTAGGTATATTTGCAAGAAACTTTAGGTTTAAATTTTACCTTTTCAGCAGAATTATTGTTCTGATCGATTGTAGTGAAAACAGCTATCTTTCTAAAAAAAGAGGTGATTTAGCTTCTTGTTGAGAGACTTTTACTCAAGATTTTCTAGATAAATCTCACAAAGCTAAATCATGTTGGATATTTTGTATTTCTTTATTTTAGCGATATATAGGCAAAATATAGTGAAGGTTTAGTTATTTATGCTTTTCAGACATAAATCTAGCTAAGTGATTACCCAGAATTTTCCCAATTCCAAACATTTAATTAACAGATGATATACTTTTCATTGACTGTTATTTTACCTCAAAATTAGCTTTCAATGCCTAGCTTAGAAAGCAATTTGTTCCAGAATTTGATAGAAAATCTTTTATGCGAATTTAAAACTCATCTAGATGTTTGTACCAAATTGTGAGTAAATCACTGATATCCTAATTATACAGCGAGGCTGTCCAATAGTCTTAGAATTTTGTTGTAATTCTTAAGCAGTTGAGGCCTGACGGTGAAAACCAAGACAGTTCCGTGATAATTTTAACAACTAAAAATTATCCATACATATTTTATAGAGGGCTTGGGGATCTGGTCTCTGATTTTTGAAACATTATAGAGTTGAAAACTTCCGTCTATCACCCAATGTCGGATGCAAACTTGAGAAATTACAGGTCAGCCTCACAAAGAAGAACAGTAAGTGGTGCTCTGATTGGAGATAACAGGTTGATATAGTTTCTGATAAGACTTCTACAACACCAAATGTTGCATATGCTGCTTCTCCTTCCAGTGAAGCTCAATCAATGTCAACACTTGCTACTACAAATGCTCAAAAAACTGAGAATAGCGAGTTTACAATGGCAATCTCTGAAGATGGGAGTGAAAGTGCTCAAGGGTATCTTGACACTTCGAAAGCTCCGAAATCTAAGGAGAGAAAGTTGAGTTCCAAGGAAGGAATTATCCTCCCACCAAGGGCTGAAGCAGATTCAATTCTTAGACCAAGCTCCAAGAATACAATTTTATTGTCATCGAAGCTTTCAAGTGACCAGCAAGCTCTAAAGCCTACAAGTATTTTAGGATTCCTGCAAAAGTCTGTCTCTGACTTAAAGCAAGGTAATACTAAAAAGAAGGTAGAGAAAGTTGGTCTGAAGAGCTTTGAGGCTCTAAGCTTGACAACTAGCACCGGCGAAGTTGGATCAAGTATTCCTAACTTCACCTTAGGCTAAATGTTTAGCCTGATAGCCTCAGTGTGCTCTAAAGACCCCTCTACCTCTTTTTAGGATTACTCTTGCCTTTCCAAGTGCTGTATAGCATTTCAGTAGCGCAATCGAGTTACCAGCCTAAGGCAGGGTGGTATATTTTCATCCTCTCTGTCTAGAACATGTGGCTGGAATAGAGTTGGGTCTCCCAGTGCATTGGGGATCATTGAAATAATAGAATCCTTATAGTACCACAATACTATTATTCAATCAGTTAAAAATTACAGGGGTTTTGGGGTTTTGGGGTTTTGGGGTTTTGGGGTTTTGGGG